CTTTATGCTTCTAATATGCTTTATGCTTCTAATATGCTTTATGCTTCTAATATGCTTATTTAGTAGTCCCAAAATGTTGTGCTATATGTAGCCATTTATTTTACTTATTTTACATATTTTGATTTGATGTACTGATTGCTTTTAACAAAGAATTAAAAATATCCATTACAAAAAACCCTCTTTGAACAGAATAAGGCTTTATAGTATACTGTAAACATTTTGGTTTGAGATGTTCAGTTAAGCAAGTAAGCAGGTTTAGCACTTTTTGAAAACATGTCAGGTGTAAAGGTACTTCTGTTATATTGTGCAACTATTTGATTTCATTATTTATTCTTTATGGATCATGGTCATGCATTTCTATTATTGGAATATACTATACTCTGTACTACCCACAAGTAAAATAACTTATTAAATTATGGTATCTTCAAACACTGGGTTGAGCTGAAGTGTACCATCTTTTTATTTTATTTTTTTAATGAAATTCTTAAAAGCAGCTTTTTAATATAGGACATGGACCTTCTCTTTCAAGGAAAAATATGTGAGATGCACCCATCTTAAAATTTTCTAGAATATATATTCAAGTATAATTTTTATCACACATTCATAAGCAAATATATTTTAAAATATATCACAGAATAGAATAGAATTCTTTATTGGCCAAGTGTGATTGGACACACAAGGAATTTGTTTTTGGTGCATATGCTCTCAGTGTACATAAAAGAAAAATAAAATATATTAATCAAGAATCATAAGATACAACACAGTGATAGTCATAGGGTACTAATAAACAATCAAATCATACTAGGAAACAAATAAAACAATATAAATTGTAAAGATACTAGCAACATGGTTATAGTCATAATGGAAAGAGATAGGTACTAGGAAGGGTGAGAAGAATAATAGTAATACAGTCTTAGTAAATAATTTGCCAGTGTTGTGGGAATTAGTTGTTTAGCAGAGTGATGGCATTTGAGGAAAGAACTGTCTCTGTGTCTCGATGTTCTGGTGAGCAGTGCCCTATAGCATCATTTTGTGGGTAGAAGTTGAAACAATTTATATCCAGGATATGAGGGGTCTGTACATATTTTCACAGCCGTCTTTTTGACTCGTGCAGTATACAGGCCCTCAGTGGAAGGCAGGTTGGTTTTTCTGCAGTTCTAATTATCCATTGAAGTCTGTGTCTGTCTTGTTTGGTTGCAGAGCCAATCCAGACCATTATAGAGGTGCAGATGACAAACTCAATAAATCCTCTATAGAACTGAATCAGCAGCTCCTTGGGCAGTTTGAGCTTTCTGAGTTGGAGCAGAAAGAACATTCTTTGTTGTGCTTTTTTGATGATGTTTTTGATGTTAGGTGTCCATTTTAAGTCTTGAGATATGATAGAACCTAGAAACTTCAATGTCTTTACTGTTGATACTATTTTGTCTAGTATTGTAAGAGGTGTATTGTAGGGGGGTTTCTCCTAAAATCTACTACCATTTCTACAGTTTTGGGTATGTTTATTTCAAGATTGTTCTGCACCACAAGGCTAGTTGTTCAACCTCCCATCTCTATGCAGTTGAACAAGACTATCATAGATCATTGTTCCTTAATATTCTAGACAGCTTCCCAAACAGCAAAATACTGAGAAGTATGTCACTCCTTAGAAAAGTTGTATTTTGTAATGTGTTGGTTTCTAACATTCTTTGTTTTTAATAAAACCAATAGAATATAATAATAGCTACTTTAGCTCTCACTAGGGGATATGGAGTGCTGTGGGATGATTCAGCTGGCCATTCCATCTTTCCTGAGAACTTTATTTGTTTTTTAGACTATTTCACATAAATATGAAATGATGTGAATGTAATATGAAACTCTCCCACCATTTTTTGTTTCACATATTCATGTTCCAGACATAGATTGGTAACAGACATCAGGAGCACTGAGACATTTTAGTTAATGGTATATGTATTGGGAAGGATTTGAAATTTGTCACCAGATATAAAGACAAAAAGTTTCTATGGTAATTCAAAGCAATGAAGTTAGAATAAATTGTCCATAGCTGCTTATTATGTATTAGCTGCAAATTAAGATAAATTTGTGATGAATAATAATAAATATGTCTCAAAGATTATTCTATCAATAAATAAAGTGTCTAATGTGTTGGTTTAACTCTAATATAATCAAAAACCTATGATTAGAACGGTGCACTAATGTACTGATCAATTGTTTGGTCACAACATAATGCTTCCAAACATTATTTCGAATAATAACACTATACGAATAGATATTAATAGTCTTAATGAGAAGTCACTAGTGCCTATCATCTCCAGGAATAGCTGTGGTTGACATATAGTTAAACATAATGACAAAGAATACATTTATGGCCAACATTGGCAGATGTTGGCCAAACCAGACTACCATCCAAATGGTAAATCTGAGGAAAATTTTATTATCACATACTGTTTCTTTTATCTTCTGTCCAACTCTCACCTTGTCTGGGATAAACTTCAGCTTTCTAGTCTTCATGTGGACATTGATCTGTAGCTTGCACAGCTTTTAAGATTTAGATGAAATGGAGAAATAAATATAATCAATCAAAACTCAAATTATCTCATCTACTAGATTTGGGTGCTTGATAAATAGCAATGGGACAATATGTAACTTGAGATACATACTAAGGCTGCAAACAAGACCTTCCATCATCCTTTTAGCATAGTCAGTTTGCAAGATGTGTGAATTTAATTATTAGAACCAAGACATCATCCATATGTCAGTTTTCTCATATATAAATATGAATAAATAACTGAAGCTCATATAATATAAATTATTTAAGCACCTTCTGCTTATGGCAATCAACAACAGAAGAAAATCTATTTAATTAGAAGAAAATTAGTTAAAATAGAAGAAAGAGAATTCACATTCCAGCATGGCATAGATAGATAGATAGATAGATAGATAGATAGATAGATAGATAGATAGATAGATAGATAGATAGATAGATAGTGTCATGCCCCTGGTGGAGACTGACTCTGAGGAAGAGGAGGAACAGCCAACAGGGAGTGGAAGTGTGGCTCCAGAGGTGTTAGAGGAGGTTGGGGAAGGGCAGAGGCCAGCTCAGCAGTCAGAGGAGGACCCAGGCCCATCCCCTATCCATCCTAGGGCACGCAGGGAGAAGAGGATCAGGGTAAAACGTGGTCTACTCAGGAGGAGAGGGCCATGATCCTCTTCATGGATTGCAGGTGTGAGATCTGCATAAAAGGTTGGACCTGTGTGCTAACAGATGCTGGAGACAAATTAGTGTTTTATTCCTAAAGAAGGTTTATCTTGGTTTGCATTCTTCCAACGGACTGTATTTGGTTATCTTCCTGAAGTTGGCAATTATCTATCCTGGTCTGTCGTGAAACTTTATTCAGTGTGGTTTGTTTTTGTTTTTTGCTTCGTTATCGGCTCTTTGAATTTGAACTGTGTTTCTTTCCTTTGAAATGTTATT